ATGCTGCGTGACTCACCTCCCACTTGGTCTCCTCCAGCCGGGGTGCCAGCTCAGTGCGCTCCCGCTGGAAGGAGGCACAGCGACGTTCCAACACTTCACGCTCCTGCAGCAGCTGGGTCAAGTCCTCCTGCAGCTGCTTCTTCTCCTGCTGCAGCTGCAGCACCTGGAGCTGCAGGACCTGCTGCCCCCGATGTGCTGCATGGGCCGCCTGCCGTGCCTGGGCTGCACAGCGCTGCCGCAGCCCCTCCAGCTCCTGCTCACACCGACGCTGCTTCTCCTCAAACACCTGGGCCAGGGGATGCACAGGTGCTGGGAGGGCAGCATGGCACCCTCCCACTTCACCTGCTATCTCCAAGATGGGCATCACAGGGAAGGGGCAGCACCTCTCCCACGTGAAGGAAGGGTCCAGGAAGAGTGTAATGTGGTGGTACACACCTCCCTGTGCTCCCCTATCCTTTTGCATGATGGGCCCCCCATCTTAGCACCCCCAGAGCCTATAGGACTCCTCCAGCTCCATCACAAGCAGGGAGAAGCCACAGGTCTCAGTCTCATTCAAAAACGGGCATCCCAAGATAAGGCACCCCAGTCTGTACAACTGGTTCCATGGGCCATACAAGGAGGCTCCCCCATGGACTACATAGGACCACGCAACTGGTGGGAAAAACCCACATACCCAGACCCACAGGACAAAGTATCCCCCTGCAAGGGTCTGTATCAGATCCCCAATGTGGGTTCCTACTCCCAACCAGAGGGTATGTGCACACCTGTCTCCAGGGAGGGAGACAGGTACAGGACATGCGGACACCAGGGACATACCTGGCAGATGGCCACCTCGTTTTCATCCAGGCTGTCACGCAGGAGCTGCAGCTCGGCCTCCCTCTCCCGCAGCTTGTCCTCCAGCTCCCGCACCAGCATGGCCTCCTCACCAGGCAGCGGAGAGCGCCCACAGGAGCCACTCTCTGAGGAGGGCCGGCCCCGGCCACTCAGCGAGCCTGTGCTCTTGCTGGAGGATGAGCGCCCGCTGTCCGAGTTGGAGGGCCGGCAGCCCCCCGGAGGGTCGAGGGGGCCGTGGGGGGTGGTCGGCAGGGCACCCACCTCTGGGTGCTGGCTGCAGCCTGTGCTGTAGGTGGGCAGGCTGGAGAGGGAGTTGCGCCCCGAGTCCGAGAGGGTGCTGGCACGGCAGCTCAGAGAGCCAGGCTTCTCAACACCCAGCAAGTGGGTGAGGCTCACCTGGCTCTCCGAGAGCCCCAGGCGCGTGCCTGGCTGGGCATTGCGAAGCTTGGATACCACTGGCTTAAAGGCCATGGGGCGGATCAGGGTCTTCTCCACATTCTGCCAGGAAAACAGGGGAGAGTGAGGGGTTGGGGAGGACCCACCAGCCCCAAGAAGGGCTGCCTAGGATTGTTACAGTGGGTGCCCCCAGCCCCGATGTCTTCACACCCAAAAGAAGACAGAAGCCAGTCACCACCCACTTCATCACCTTTCCATCGGTGTACAGGTGAGCTCCCCAAACACCCTTGGCATGATGGAGGGGATTAAGAGCACAGGGATTTCCACTTCCCCAGGGACACCAGAAGTGTGGCCATATGACCCCATTTCACACATCTGAGCCAACAGTCCCAGTGTGGCACATGGTGTAAAGCCAAGACTGCAGCACACACCCACCCACCCTGCTGCTGCCCCCCCCACCTCTTCCAGCTTGCCAGAGACAGGTACAAGCTTGGGGGGCGGCCCCCGAAGGTGATCACTTGGTGCTTGGTCATCACGGAGATCATCTGAGTCACTACAGGGGCTGGCAGGGGAGGAGGCATCAAGCCAGTCGCCACAGAAGCCCCCATTGGCATAGGAGTGGGTGACACCGGGCACAGACACACGGGGCTCCTCAGGCGTGGCCCGGAGTAGCCCCTCCGGCTTGCAGAAGGAGGCAGCGGAGGGGTCCCCATCACTTGTGCAGTCGTGGCGAGGCCGGGCGGGCAGGAGGCTGCCCACGCTGCCCATGGCGGCAGGGGGTGAGCGGGTGGTGGCACGCAGCTGTGTGGCCCCCTCAGACACGGCCTCAAGGGGCACTGGCAGCGTCTGCACAATGGCCATGGCGGGGGGGCCCCCGGCGGGCAGGGGCGCGTGGGCAGCCTGCAAGCAAGGGAGACAGGACATCAGAGCCATGGGCACTGACAACAGTGGCCCATCACCCACCCAGGTGGGCATGGGGGCATCCCCAGGTCCCCAGTCACCATCCACAATCTTATAGGTGAAGGCTGGCCCAAGAGCAGAAGGAGACGGCAAATGAACCAAAACAAAACCAGGATTAGTTGGGGGGAATAGTACTAGCAACCACCAAGTTGGCCTCAGCACCCCAATGGAGTAGCCTGGGGCTGCCAGGGGCTGTAGAGTGCTGGTGGCACTGTAGGCCAGTGGCAATGCAGTCCTGCCTCATGCCGTGCCCTGGTGTGACCCTGCCACGGGAATCGTGCCAGGACTAGAGGCGAATCCCGAGAGGCCTACAGAGAGCTGGCTCACAGGCAGCCTGCCCGCCTGTCTGCCCCATGGGCACCCACAAGTGCAGCCTCACAGAGAGCGATGGACAGCCCCACACGCCAGGATCAGCCACCCCCTCTTCCTCACAGCCCCCACTTCTCAGCAGTGACCCCACCGAGCCTGCTTTCCACCTCAAACCATCCACTGCGGGGCACAGGGTTCCCTGGAGAGGACCACCAAGGGGGAAGCTGCCAGGTGGGCGCCAGGCTCTTTCGCAGCCCCAACACACGGAGCCTTGTTCCCACCCCCTCCAGCTGGGGGGGCTCTGCCGGTCTCTGCTGTGACTCCCCCTGCCCCAACCCACGCCATACGCCCGCGTGACGGGAGCCGGCCGACGGGCCGGATCCATCCCCTGCTGCCTCATCGCATCTCGCACATGGCTGCGGCTGGCACAGGGCNGCAGGGGCTGGGGCATGGGGGGTGCGTGGGGCACCGCAGCCGCACCCCGTGCGTTCCCAGTCACGTCCGTTCCGGGGGATCCCCGGAGCTCATCCCCTTCTCTCCCAGCCAAAACCCCCCGTCTCAGGGCTCTGCAACTCCAAAGTATACCCAAGCTTCCGGGGGGAAAACCCCTCCAGATTATGCCCCCTCCGCAAATATTTGTCGAGCCCAGAACTCTGCTAAGGGGCCTTGGGGCCTCTGCTCCTCTTGACGGCACACCACCCCTCCCCATGAGTTGTTACAGCTATTGTCACCCTCCTTTCGTGGAGACCCAAAATGGGGGAAAAAAGAGTAAAATAAACTCAAGAAACCACCTGTCCCCCAGGGTCTGGGATCAGCCAAGATCCCCCCGGAGGCTCAGTTTCTTCACCCCCTCTGGGGCCCACGGAGGGATAGATGGGAGATGGGGCCCTGGGCTATCCCACTGCCTTACTTCCACTCTAGAGCCCCATGACAGCACCTCACCTGAACTAGACTGGGTCAAATGGAAGCCAGTGAGACAGAGGTGACCCTTGGATAGAGGGGGGAAACCCATATCCCCCACCCACACCACCATGTGAACCCTGACCCAGCTCCACTCCCCCCCCACCTTACCTCTGCTTCCCCAGGACCCTCCTCTGCCTCCACCCCCGTCCTGCCTGTGGGTGCTCACACCTGCACTGACAGCACCCAAGGGTGCTTTCCAGGCGAGCTGGTGCACCCCGGAAACCCAGGGCTGGGTGTGTACCACCTGCTTGCTCTGGGCCCTCATTATGGCTCAGGTTAAAACTATTCCCAGCACGGAGGTTGGTAATAATCTGGTATGCCAGGGCTGGGGCAGGATGCTCAGTGCAGCAGGGACATCGTCAGGGGGTCACCTTCTCCCTGGCCAGGGTAACCTCCCCAGACCCAGGGTACTCCAGACACAGAGACAGAAAAGGCACTCGTATTTATACTTTAATAAAACTAGAAAGAGGAAAAAATCAAAGGGATTAGACCAAAATCCAGCCATGGACACCCCCTACCATGGCTAGGACTAGTCATGTCACAGTATTTGCTGCCTGCAGCCCTGAAGGCAGGGGGGATAGCAGCCCCCCCCAAACCCAGCAGAGCAAGGAAGGACTGTTCCCCACATGGTTTTATTGCTGGTGATGCCCACCCAGAGAAAGGGGCTTGTGAGACCCTGAGCAAAGGGGGCCAGGTCAGGTGCCAGCCATGCGGGTAGAACCGGCGAGTTCCATTAACATCTGCTCCCACCCTGGAGCATGAGCCACCCACAATCTCACACACTTTCCTTCACCATCTTTCCCCTGCTGGCTCCATCCCACACAGGACCCCATTTGTGACAAGGGGGGTTTCTACTACATGTCCCTCTACATAATTGCCTCACATTTAGTGACTGTTCAGGATTTCAGTTCCATTTTAGACACAATTTAACAACCTGCCCCAGGTCCAGAGATATGCGAGTCCCAGAAGGGTGGATCATCCCCACCATCATCCAGCTTACTCTGCCTCCACTCCCCCCACGCTCCCAGCACTCAGCACTAACACGGAGCAGCCAGTGTGTGTCAAAGCACCTTCCCCTTCACTCTTCGCTAGGATGAGACCACTCCTCCTCTCATGGTGGTCCCCCATCTCAGAGACACTGTCCTTGTGTTCAAGAGGTTTGTTCATGCAGGAGAAAGGGCCACAGAGGTGCATCGTACATGATCCCAGGGAAGAGGAGCTGGCATATTCCAGCCTTGGGCTGCCAGAACTAGTCTCTGTTCCTCCAGACGAACTGAGGCAGAGACCTGCTGGCCTCATGGCTTCTTGGAGGCTCCTGAGCCTCCCTCCACGATTTTGTTGGCTAAAATCTCCTTCTCCTCCTTCATCTTCTTCAGCCTGACCTTGCTTTTGGAAGACGAGAAGGAGAGTGAGGCCTTGCTGAACTCCAGTGGGAAGATACCCACATCCCCATCAAAGCGATTCTTGGACACCTGCAGGTAGCGCTTCCCTGGCCCTGTCACCAGCTTACGGTCCTGCAGGATGAGGACGTTGTCGGCCTCCTGGCTGGCCTGGGGAGAGGAAAACATCTCCAGGAGGGTGCTCGGAATGCTGCCAGAGCAACAGGCCTCAGAGATGCTCACAAACGCCTGCCCAGCTCCTTTAAACCTTTTTACAGGGCACCCCAGGCCACAGCAACTCCAGCATTTCCCCAACACCAACCCCTCATGTTCCCCTGGAACATCCACTGACCCACCAGACACATCCTGCACCACAGCCCTGGGGAAATGGGATCACAGGAGGGTTGTGCACAGAGACCAACCCCTCTGCAGGGTTGGTCAGCAACACGGAAGAGACGAGAGTACTCAGAGAGCCCATCCCCGCCCCATCCCTGCCTCCCTCTTTAATTATCTCCTACTACATTCCACTCACAGTCAGTGAGTATTAATTAACTGCACCTAAAGCCCCAACAGAGCTTTAGCTGACAATGGGTTTGCTCTCTGCCTGCATCAGGACTCTGGGAGACATCCCACAATTTTTAGGTTCCCAGTGATGATCCAGGGTGATGATGGCAGCTGAGGATGACTGCCCAACATATACTAGCTCCTTCCTGGGGATACACTGTGCCCAAGGGACAGGAAGTGCCATCCTGGCCCGGCTCACCTTGGCAGAGCCGAAGATGGAGGCTGTCTGAAGCTCCTTCTCATCATCCTCCTTGCGAGGATGGATGATCAGGGTGATGTGGCACATGTTGTCTGTGGCAAACTTGCGGAAGGCACCAATGATGTAGTCCTGGGCAGCGAGCCTGCCACAGCAGCAAGAATGGGGTCAGGGGCTGGCGTTGCTCGGTGGCAGGGGGCTGATCCCCACCACAGAAACCACCCAGAAACGTGAGGCAAACAAGCACACATGGGAAGAGGGATGTGGTATGGCAGGGATGGTTGGCAACCTGCTCACACCTTCCCACTTCTCCTTCCCTAGGGGACTGGTTACCCTTTAATGAAACAGGGTGGCCAGACAGAAGTAAAGGTGACACCTTGTGTGGGTCCCTAGCCCCTGCCGTGACAGGGAGAGCTCCAGCAGTGAGGGTGGCAGAGGAAGGAAGGATCAGACTGGAGAAGGGATACCTGTCCACAGAGAGGTGCTCGTGTCCCATCATGAACTGGAGATTGTCGACGACCACGTGGGTGATGTCGTACATGTAGACGGCGTGCTGCATGGTGTCAATCACTGTCCTGAGCAGGGGAGAGCAGGATCAGCTCCAGCGATCAGTGGAGGTAGGGACGGGAAGGCTGAGCCAGGCAGAGGGATGCAGAGAAAGAGCTGGAAGGTACCAAGCTGGGTCCTGATTGGACCTGGGCACATCCCACCTCTGCATCTCCCCCACTGTATGGCAGGTGCAGCCCCAACCCCCCAGTAAAGGTAGCTGGGATCAGAAGGACCCAGCTGCTGCCCACACAGTCCCTTGCCTACTGCCCTGCAATGCCCCCAGGCCACAGGGGTCCTCAGGGCATATAGGGATGCATGCAGGTGCCACAATGCCTGATGAATAAAAGGAGTTGGAGGTGCCTGTCCTCCTTCAGCAAACAACAGCACTGCAGGTAAGCAGGGTGTGACGGGACATGTCCTGCCAGGGGCACAGGCTGGCTTCAGAGCAGCCACCTAGCACAGGGTCAAGTCCCCTCCTTCACCCCCACCCCAGAGAGAGGCTGTGAGAGTTCCTGTGACAGGAGGAACACAGGTGGTGCCACACGGTCCCCATACACTTGAACAGTCCCAATGTGCCTCCTGCCAGCCCCAAATCTATGACTCACTGCGGGGGAAGAGCCCCAGATCCCCAAGGCCCTGCAGCACATGCCGTGAGGGATAAATGCCACTGGGAATGGAGGTGCAGGACCATACTTGATGTTCTGCTGGCCATGGAAGGTCATGAAGTAGAGCGGGAGCTCCTCGAAGCGATCAGCCCATTCATCGTACAGCTCTAGCTGGTCCTCCAGGCGCCGGCCAGCAAACTGTGTCAGCATGATTTTGGCCAGGCGGACATTGTTGATCTCAAAGCTGCCCCACAGCGTGCACACGCCCTGCATGCACAGGTCCAGTGCATACTCACTGATAAACGTGGTCTTCCCACTGCCTGTTGGGCCTGGTACAAGGACAACAGGAGAATTAGCTGGGGGAGATGATCTGACCCATACTGACCATGC